GCCCACTGCTCAGGCAAATGTTGTCTGAAAATGAGGTCAGATAAATTCAGGTTTTTACAGCCAACCCAGTCAAGCTGATGAGGCTCTTCTCATCACAGACATGACAGCTTTGTTCATGGAGTTTTTCTGACAGGACAGAGGGGAATTCTCACTGTCATATCCAGTAAGAACTGAGACCAAACTAACTTGTAAGTGGCATTTGGGATGCTTGGAAATAGATGACCATGGGAAAAATAATAATAATAATATTTCGGCCTCCCCAAGCACTTTTTTTTTTTTTTTTTTTGGACAGGCAGAGTGAACAGTGAGAGAGAGAGACAGAGAGAAAGGTCTTCCTTTGCCCTTGGTTCACCCTCCAATGGCCGCCACGCCGGCGCACCGCACTGATCAGAAGGCAGGAGCCAGGTGCTTCTTCTGGTCTCACATGGGGTGCAGGGCCCAAGCACTTGGGCCATCCTCCACTGCACTCCCGGGCCACAGCAGAGAGCTGGCCTGGAAGAGGAGCAACCGGGACAGAATCCGGCGCCGACCGGGACTAGAACCCGGTGTGCCGGCGCCGCAAGGTGGAGGATTAGCCTAGTGAGCCACAATGCCAGCTTCCAAGCACTTTCTTATCTAGTTATAAACTGTTATTGTCCCAAGATGTCAAATATAGAAATACCTCTTTAAAAAAGGAAGAAATTAACAATCCACACAGGCCTGGTGCTTTATTCCAGATGTGGGTTCAATAGAGAGAGGGCTACCTTTTATTTTTACTTGCTTACATTTAATCAACAGGAATATATTCTTTTGGGACTTTGAGCTGATCTCATGCCAGAGTTTGAGGCACAAAGGGCCAGGGAGACCACACAAGTTCAGAAATATCAGTGTGATCACAAGGGTGGTTTGGAGTCTAACACTCCATGGAAGGATGTTATAAATTTACTTTTATTTTGATTCCCTCCATGAAGTAGTTTATGTTTCACTTCAATGACTGTAAGAGGATTCTGGTTTTTACTCTTCCAGTGAACTAAACAAAGTCTGCAAGTAACATGGTAAAATGAAATGAGGTTTATGGACATGTGTTTTTGAGATGCAAATAAAAAAGACATTTTTTATTTATTGTCATTTCAACTTTCATTCTCAGTCATCTTGATTTTTCTGTCACAGTGGGAATCAGCAATTTTCTGCATAACTAAAAGCGAACAAATAGGGAGGGTGGAATACCTGTTAGTGTTTTGCAGTCCTTTTATCTGCAGAAGGATATGGCAAAGTCACAAGAAGCCTATGGCTTTCCACAATCTGTTATTTTCGTGATTAGCACCTTGAGAGCCATCTCATTTCCAGAAACGGAAGATTCTGAGTGATGTTGTCTGTAACATAACTTCAACGCACAGCATGACTGTGCCAATTTCTTTCTGCTATTACTCCTCCATCCTCATAGTTAGATTGAATCTCTCTCTCTCTCTCTCTCTCTCTCTCTCTCTCTCTGTTTTTAAAGCATGATTGGAGCCATGGTATTTATTAGAACATCTCTGCCTCTTCCATATTTACTAAATTGTTAGAAATGCACATATTGATCAGAAAATCAAAGGATATATAAAATCGAAATCATATATAGCTAATTTTGCCTTGCTGTAGCTAAATACAGAAACATTTCATTTCATACAGCACAATCCAGCATCAGCTATCAACTGAATAATTCACAATAGGAACTTAAAAAACAGATATGAGACTGTGGAAGCTATAGGAAAAGATATTTTGGTCTGTAAATTTGAGAAGTTATCTTTTCTTGACAGCTTTAATTTCTACTAAATGAACAATTTAAACAGGTTAGTTCTCTCATATTAAAAGTAGGTACCACAAGATATTAAAAGAAAATAACTATAACTAAAAAATTTCTTTCTCTTTGGTCTAAAATTTTACTGCTGGATCTCAAATCCTGCTTTGAAATGATTGCCGAGCCATCATTTGGTATTATCATTCCTTCATGTCTCTCAGCAGAGATTTACTCCAAAAAGAAAAAGAAATCTGCAACTCTCTATTTTATGGGAACTAGAGCTTAACTACGTGAGTCAAATGATTTATTTGGTCTCTTGATGATTGTTTTCTGCAATACTGAATCAGACAGAAAAGTAATCCAATTTTATGAAGATGGACGGAAACATCAGATATGCTACTTTCAACACTGTTATTCATCATCAAAGACGGCATATAAAATCAAAATTATCTGTAATTTTTATCAATATTAGGACCACTGTATTGTTTTAAGTACTCAATTGAAATGCTTACTTTTTAATCTTTATATGCCTAGAACTTCATGCAATGTTTAGAGCACACTGGGCACTCAATACATAGTTTTGAATTAAACTTAAGTAAACTAAACACTTTGTGAGGTTTTCTATCTGAGTTCCTTCTATACAGATTAACTAAGTCATATACACTTTTTAATGAGAGCCCTAATTCTTTAGAGAGAAGCCAATGTTAAATAATAATGTTCTCCGTTTACTGAAGGAAAACAACAAAGCCAGGGTCCCCAACTGGGAATTAGGCAGGGATGTTTCTTATCACAGACTTTCATTCATTGGTCCCCCACATCCGATTATGATGGAAGACACTGACTAGTCTTTTAGTGAAATCTGCATGTAACAACAGGGTCGCCAAGATGCCATTATTATAAAACATCCTGATTTAGCGACGTAGTTTACTATCACCCTCTCTGTCTTTCCTTTTCCAGTTATCATAAATGGAAGTAGTCATCTTTCCCCCAAATCAGTGTATAAACTACACTGAAAGAAACAGAGAAATATCTACTCCACCAATATCTTTTATAAACTTTTGAGTTCTGTTCAAGTATAGATGTATTTGTAATTCCACTCTTTTTAGGATAGTTGTGAATTTTAGAAGAAACCTTTTATGATTGGTAGGGTTTTTACTACTAAGATATGTTAAATAACTGCATAGCATTTTCTTTTAATTTCAGACTTTCATGCTGTAGCCATTTCCCTAGATATCACAAAGGTTCTCTGCTGACTCATGCACATGCATATGAACAGAAAGACATAAAGCTCAGTAATTACTCTCCTGACCTCACAACATGACACAGAAGACTGTCTACTTTACTTGTCATGAAGGATTCTCTTACCTGTTTAGAAACCGACTGGATGTTGTGATGAATTCTACTTCCATTAGTACGCCTCTTTGTGTTATTTCCTCACCATAGCAAGTTGGACTAATCACAAAGCTTTCTAAGCTGTGTGCAGAGAGGAAGCCTCATTTAGTCACCTGCGGGTAACTGCCTGGAACTATTTCTAGAGACATTGCAGGTCTACTGTAACAGCCTGTCTCTCCCAGGAGATACCCTAGGTGCTTGCTGTTTCAGTGCTTATTAGATTTGAAATTCATGGTGAGTTTCTTCATGTCATTGGCAAAACTATAAAATGAGAACTATATGGATCATAGACAAGATGTATTGCATAAAGGATTTTTTTCCTTTTAACATTAAAAGAAGAAATTATACATTCTCATAGCTCTTCTAAAAGTTCCACTATTTCTACCAAAAATTTCCTACATAGTATTAGGGGATATATAGATATCTTCATTTTAACCCTCATCATAACTTAGGGAATAAAGATTATTATTAAATTTTTATTGATTGTGAAATTAAAGTGATTTAAGCAAAGCCCAAGTAATGATTCTGGGAATCAGATACAGGCTGGTATGAATCCAAAGCTGATTTTCACCCCAGCCTAAACCATATGCACATTATTATGATGGATTTCAGATAAATGATTGTTATAATTATTAGTATAGAAAGATTTGGTATGAAAAAATAGGAATCAATAAAGATAACTAAAGTATTACCTCTGTCTTTAAGGAGCTAATAGTCTATTAAAATATGGAAAGTTGAAACACTAGTGATTCCATGAACTATGGCCTCAAAGTATATGGCATAACTCTAGCAAGGTTGCAATAAAACTTAATCATTTTTGCATTACTGATGACAAGGCAAATTGATTTTAAGTAACAGGGCTCTGTCAAGAGCCTTAAAAATGTTCCCAGTTTTTGATCCAGTGATTTCCAATAAATTCTGCAAATTTATCTTAAAGAACTCATTTAAATAAATAAGAAATAATCAGGCACATATATTTTCCTTGCACTATTGTAGTAAAAAAGAAAAACAGAGGCACTCAAATGAACAGTAGCAAATGTAGCACCAAATAAATTATGGTACAACAATGGGAGGTAAATGTTGTCTAATTCTCCCTCCCTCTCCAGCATTATTTCACACTATCTATTGCATCTTTCTAATCTACCTTCATGTGTGTTGTAACATTTTTCATATTAAAAAAATCCAAACAAACAAATCAAAGACCTCCTCATTCAGCTATTGTTCATTTCTTACTCTTCATCTGAACAAATTAACTGTCCATATTTATTAATAGTTTCCAATGCCTTTTTTTACCTTTCATTCTTTCTGTGTCTGTGGCTCCTGTAAACTAAACCAGGATTGCTTCATCCAGTTGTCAATCATTTTTCTCATCTTGTTGACCTTTCTGCAGCCTTTGACACACACTGCTTCTGCTTCCCTGATAACTATTCCAGAATAGGGTTTCAGAATGCTACACTTTCTTAGTGCTGCTTCTCAATGGTCACTCTTTTTCAAGTCTCCTTTGCTCGTTCTTCATCTTTTCACCTGCATATTTTGGGCAGCTCCATGCTCAATTCTTGGTGTCTTTTTCTGTAAATGCTGGTCTAGATTATCCAGGGCCTCTCCCTTAGAACTTTAAACTTAAATACCCAATGGCATACTTGACATACTTAGGTAAATTGATGCTGTCAACAGTTAATTCCTGATTCCTACCCGCCCCTTCCTTTAATTCTCTTCCACTCTGTAACTGACAACCTCAAGCTTCCATGTGCTCAGCTTTAAAAAGTTCCAGCCATCAGTCTTACCTTCTTTTACTCTCTTGTTCCTCACCATGGACAAAACAATCAACTTTACATTTGAATCATATTTAGAACAAATCAGTAGCACATATATTAAAATTGGAGTGGTACAGAGAAGATTAGCATGGCCCCCTCAGAAGGATGACATGCAAATTCATGAAGCATTCCATATTTTTAAAAGAGGGAAAATACTCAAGTCAATAGATTCAGAGGTAAAAAAAAGAAATGTAACAAAAAATGTAACAAAAAAGTACCAAAGAAATAAAAAGTATCATAAAATTACTACAAATAGCTATATGCCAACAAATAAGAAAATCTAGAAGAAATGGATAGATTTCTAGACAAAGACAATGTTCCAAAATTGAGTCATGAAGACATGGGAAACCTAAACAGACCAATAACCAAGACAGAGATTGAATCAGTAATAATGATCCTCATAACAAAGACAAGACCAGGACTGGATGGTTTCACTGCTGAATTCTACCAGACATTTAAAGAACTAATCCCAATTCTTGTCAAGCTATTCAAAATAATTGAAAGGGAGGGAATCTTTGCGAGCTTATTCTATGAAGCTAGTGTCACCTTAATTCCTAAACCTGCAAAAGACACAACAGAGAATGAGAACTATAGATCAATTTCTCTGATGAACATAGACACAAAAATCCTCAACAAAATACTATCTAATTGAATCCAACAAGACATAAGGAAGACCATTCACCTGGACCAAGTAGGATATCCCTTGTATATAAGAATGGCTCAACATTTGCAAATCAATAAATGTGATACATCACATTAACAAACTGAAGAATAAAAATCATATGATTATTTTAATAGATGTAGAAAAAGCGTTTGATAAAATACAACATCCTTTCATAATAAAAACCATAAGCAAATTCAGTATAGAAGCAACAGTCAATATAGTAAACACAATGAATGCAATTTATGACAAAACTACAGCTAGCATCTTATTGAATGAAGAGAAAGTTGAAAGTGTTACCAACCAAGATCCAGAACAAGACAAGGATGCCCACTCTCACCATTATTAAATATTCTGGAAGTTGTAGCCAGAGCCATTAGCAAGAAAAAGAAATCAAGAGACACAAATTGGAAAGGAGAAAGTCAAACTATCCTTATTTGCAGATGACATGATTCTATATATAAAGGAATTAAAAGACTCCACAAAGAGACTATTGGGACTCATAAAAGAGTTTGGTGAAGTGGCAGGATATAAACTCAAAATACAAAAATCAATAGCCTCTGTATACACAGACAATGCCATGGCTAAGAAAGAACTTCTAAGATCAATCCCATTCATAATAACTGCAAAAAATTAAATACCTTGGAATAAATCTAACCAATGATGTCAAAGATCTCTATGATAAAAAGTACAAAACATTAAAGAAAGAAATAAAAGAAGACACACAAAAAATGGAAAAAAAAACTTCCATGTTTGTGTATTGGAAGAATTAATAACATCAAAATGTCCATACTGAAAGCAATATACAGATAATGTACTCTACCAATGACATTCTCAGATCTAGAAAACAATGATGCTAAAATTCATATGGAAACACAAGAGAACCCAAATAGCTAAAGCAGTCTTATACAACTAAATCAAAGCCAGAGGCATCACAATACCAGAATTCAAGACATACTACAAAGCATTTATAATCAAAAGAGCTTGATACTGGCAAAAAACCAGATATGTATACCAATGGAACAAAATAGAATCTCCAGAAATCAGTCCATCCATCTACAAATTATCACTGATAAAGGAGCTGAAGTCAATTCCTGGAGCAAGGACAGTCTCTTTAACAAATGTGTTGGGAAAACTGGATCTCCCCATGCAGAAGTATGAAACACCACCTGAAACTTACACCTTATACAAAATCCACTGAAAATGGTTCAAGGATCTCAATCTATGAACTGATATCATCAAATTACTAGAGAATGTTAGGGAAAGACATTGGCATAGGCAAAGAATTCTTGGAAAAGACCCCAGAAGCACAGGCATGAAAGCCAAAATTGACAAATGGGATTATACTATGTTAAGAAGCTTCTGCACTGCAAAAGACATACTCAGCAAAGTGAAAAAGCAACTGACAGGAAAGGAGAAAACATTTGCAAACTATGCAATTGATAAAGGGTTAATATCCAGAATCTATAATGACCTGAAGAAACTCAACAGCAACAAAACAAACAATCCAGTAATGAAATGGGCAAAGGACTTGAATAGGCATTTTTCAAGAAAGGAAATTCAAATGACCAACAGACACCTGAAAAAAATGCTCAGGATCGATAGCCATCAGGGAAATGCAAATCAAAACCACAATGAGGTTTTATGTTACCCCAGTTAGAATGGATATCTTACAGAAATCAACAAACTATAAATGCTGGTGAGGCTGTGGGGAAAAGATACCCTAATCCAATGTTTGTGGGAATGTAAACTCATGCAGCCTCTGTGGAAGACAGTATGGGGATGCTTTAGAAATCTTAATATGAACTTACCATATGATCCAGCAATTCCACTCCTGGGAATTTACCCAAGGGATATGAAATCAGTATATGAAAGAGTAATCTGTACCCCCATATTCATTGCAGCTCAATTCAAAACAGCTAAGATATGGAATCAATCTAGATGTCCATCAACTGATGACTAGATAAAGAAATTCTGGCATATATATACTATGGAATAATACTCAGCACTAAAAAAATGAAATCCTGTCATTATCAACAAATTGGATGCTAATAGAAATTATTATAATTAGTGAAATCAGCCAGTCCCACAAAACCAAATACCATATATTTTCCCTGGTATGTCATAAATAGAATATCTAAAATGTAATATAAAGGAGTGAAATTGACATTTTAAAATTTGATGATTATTTATAGCCCTTGTCTCTACTATTGAGAAACAGTGTTTTTTTTTTTCCTTATACTATTTGTTGACCTCTGTACTTACTGTAGGTTTAATCTTAAAAATAGATCTTTGTAAAAATTAAGAATGGGAATAGGAGAGAGGAGGAAGAAGGGTGTAAGCACAGGCGGGAGGGAAGACTATTATGTTCCTAAATTTGTATATACGAAATGCAGGAAATTTATATACCTTGAGTAAAATTTAAAACAAAACAAGGGGCCAGTGCTGTGGCGTAGTGGGTAAGGCAGCTTTTGTCTGCAGTGCTTTCGCCCCATATGGGTGCTGGTGCAAGCCTAGCTGCTCCACTTCCAATCCATCTCTGCTGTGGCCTGGGAAAGCAGTAGAAGACGACACAAGTTCTTGGGCCTCTGCACCTATGTGGGAGACCCAGGAGAAGCTTCTGGCTCTTGGCTTTGGATTGGCACAGCTCTGGCCATTGCAGCCAACTGGGGAGTGAACCAGCAGATGGGAGACCCCCCCCCCTCTCTCTATGTAACTCTGCTTTTCAAACAAATAAATAAATCTTAAAAAAAAAAAAAAAAAACAAAACCATGATTCACCACCTTCATTACTACCATCTCAATTCCCATTGTCATGGACCACGGTCATAGCCTTCTAATTGGCCTCCTTACTTCTACTCTGCCTGTTGTACTTTATTTTCCACACAAAACCAGAGTGAGTTTTAAGAAAAATTATTATGTTATATTATATTGTGTTATATTTACTTGAGAGAGAGAGAGAGAGAGAGAGAGAGAGAGAAAATCACTCTCATCTTGTAGCTCATTTCTCAAATGCCATCAACAGCTGGGGTAGGTCAGGGCTGAAGCCAGGAACAAAATCCACATCTCCCACATGAGTGGAAAGAATCCAATTATTTGAGCCATCACCACTGCTTCTCAGGGTCTACATTACCCAGAAGCTAGGATCCGGTTTGGAGCTGGAACTTCCACCCAGGTACTCTGACATGGGACTTGGTGTTTCAACTGGTATCTTAACCACTATACTAAATGTTCACTTCCAGAGTGATTTTTTTTTTTTTGAATCATAAATTATTTCCTTAACAGCATGTCCTCATATTCTACAGATCTCTCCCTTGTTCCATTCCATTCATTTTGGTTTCCTTGCTGTTCTTTGTTATTTTTAAGGATTCATTTATTTATTTGAAAGAATGGTAGAGACACAAGGGGAGAGAGCAAGAGTGAGAGCAAGAGAAAGATATCTTCTGTTTATTAGCTCTAGTAACAGCCATCAACAGCCAGGGCTTGGCCAAAGCCAGTATCTAAGAATTCCAGGATCTTCTATATGGGCAGCAGGGAGTCAAGGACGTGGACCATCATCCACTCCCTCCAAGGGCACATCAGGAAGCTGTTTTGGGTGCAAAGTAGTTGGGATTCAAAATGGCACTCTAAAATGAATGCAGATGTTCCAAGTGATGGCTGGATCTGCCGTGCCACAACACCCTTCCCTCCTTATTACTCTAAACACACCAGGTGCCCTCTGACTTCAAGGCCTTTGCATTTATGCCTTCACTGTTGGAAACCTCTCCTGATATATATTTAAGTCTCATTCCCTCACTTCATTCAGGTCTCTATTGCAGCTACTTTTTCAGAGCTTGCTATTCTAATCAGATTATTTTAAAAAATCACCTTGTCTGTCACTGTTGGCTTCCTTGTCTTGTTATTTCTTTTTCTAAGCACTTTTCATCATTGACACGTACCTACTACAAGATATACTCTGTCAGTACAAGAAGGCATGCTTCAAGAGAGCAAAAATTTTGGCTGCTTGCTTGATGATGATCCACAGAGTGTAGACAATGCTTGGCTGTGGCAGAACCTCAATAAATGTCTTATGAGGAAATGAATAAAGCAGATTTTTAATTTAATATCAGGAGGAAATCAGTCTACTGCAAAGTTACGTTCATACGAAAGATCTTCAAAAAGTTCACAAGAATGTATTTTATGAAAAAACTTTACAGATTTCACATAATTTTTTGCACCTAAATAAACTCATCTTTTAATTCCATTTCCATGGAATTTTGAAGTTCTCTCACATGTTAAGGTCTGCAAAATGATATGAAAACATTAAAATAGTTGTAGATGATTGGATATGAATAAAATTTTATGTTGTTGGGCTAATTTCAGGGATTTATAAAATATAAAATTATTGTATCTGGTAAACAGCAGTTGACAGAGAAAATGCAATTCCTTTTTTTTTTTTTTTTTGAGAAATGGCTAGCTTCAACCCTATATCTCAGAAGAA